TCACAATAACATATACTAGACATGTTCTTGTGCCTCCGTTTGGGCCACCTTATCTTTTCATTAAAATGAAAAATGTGATCGTTATCCATCATATCAACATTTAAATTCAAATTTTCTATCTCTTATGTGGCCCCAATAACAACTATGTTTTTCATTCTCGTAATCTCGTTCTACAAAAAGATGGCTCAAACAGGGTACTTTTTTTAAAAATTTTCAAAATCAAACAGGGTACAAGTTATCACTAAAATAGCCACTAAGTCGAGGATAAAAAGTTCGAGAGTTGAGGTTAAATTGATATGTTGCCAATTGTTCCCGTGATGCCTCGATGCTTAAAGACTCGAAAAACTTTCTTGGTTGAATGAGGGAGAAATAACTCCCGCGATCATAATATTTTTTGAACTACCTAAAATACTGATTACCAAACTATCAACTTATCTCGTACATAATTTTTTTTATTTATAAGTAACTTTCAGAGCATTTTTCATTATACTTAAGTTACTTTTTCAAAAATTAAAATTGTCCATAAAGTAATTTGCTAACTAAATTTCACGTTTGAGATAATAAATAATACTTTTTTGAAGTCTCAAAGCTATAGAATTTTCACTCTTAAATAATTCATTTTTTTTCAAGTTGTCACATACCATTATAATTAAACTTAAACTATGATGATACATACATCAAGATGACATCGATTTGCTTAAATTGGTACGTTTTGCATTTGACATTGAGATAGTGATATTTTTGGTATATGTTATTCAACGATAATAGATTATCATTCTCATTAAATATAAGAGGAAACATGTCTATTTCCCGATTTGGTGAGAATTAAAATCAAATTTTCAGTAGATTTTGATAGAAGTTGACGAGATGTGTGGTTGAAAAATTGTGGGTTCCATAAAATATGTGATTAAAATTAATTATTAAATTTGATTTAAATTAAAATCTAAATTTTAATTTCTAATAAACGGTGCAATATTAGATTGACATAGTTTAATTACTCTACCGCTAAATAAGAAAATACAATAATTTTAATGTGTCAACGCGATGAAACAATGATAATTATTTTAAGAAACGTGTTCGATGGGCCTTGGTAGTCACTTGTAATTTGACCAAGACAAGCAAAATTATTCGGCTTTTATATTGCAATTAAAATTGCCACCCCACCCCCGAACTTGTGGATTTCTTCGAATTACAAAATAATTTACATTTTAAGAAGAAATTATCGATCGAAAAAAAATCTATATATATATATATATATATTCATTTTGATAGTGATAAGAGGATACTGCTTCTACGGTCCTAATCAAAACATTTTGTGGGTCTGAAAATAATTTGAGTAAAGTTACTTTACCCGAAAATGGTTGACACGTCGGGTGACCGACCCTCACATTGCGCGTTGGTCCCGCGAAATTAAAATTATGACCAACCCTCAAGGTGTGTGTGTTCGATTATTCCCTGTGTTCATGTAGCATGATTCAAATAATTTTGATTGTCAGACTATGAGAGATCATCAAATCTTTTCTCAACGCTCCCTTCTCTATATAATAAGGCATTGCTCTTAAAACAAATCACTCAAATTTTAACATGGAATTCTATGTTTTTCTTCTTCTTCCTCTCCTAATAATATGCATTCATGCCACTGCCAAAAAATTGTTCAAAAACAAGAATCTCCCACCAGGGCCAATAGGCCTCCCAATAATTGGAAATCTTCTCACAGTTGGGGACAGACCCCATGAATCCTTAGCCAATTTAGCAAAAATCTATGGCCCTCTAATGACAGTAAAACTTGGCTATGTCAATATTGTAGTTGCTTCTTCAAGAGAAATGGCTAAAGAAATTCTTCAGAAGAATGATCAAAACTTCTTGGGAAGGCCTATTCCAGATTCTGTTACTGCAGAAAAGGGCTATGAACTGTCGATGGCGTGGCTGTCGGGTGGCCCGCAGTGGAAAAAACTTCGAAAAATCTGCCAAAGTCAGATTTTTACAATACAAAGATTGGATGCATTGCAAGATTTGAGGCATATGATGATGAAAAACATGGTTGCAAGAGTAGACGAAGCCCGGGAAACACAAGAAGCCATTCATGTAGGGAGGTTCGTGATATTATACCGACTCTTTCTTAATATATAGTTTTTTTGAGGTCTTTTTCTAGAACGTTAACGACCTCAAGAAAATGAATTCTGCTACATGTATGGAATTTTTGTACAAATAGGTTAATAGATGTATGTCGATCTATTTGCACAAAATCACGTGTACAAGCAGAATAATTGCGAGAAAATATCCTTGTTAGAAATTTGAACTTGCGCGCACAACCAAATATCAGACAGTATTGCCGGAAGGGTTTTTAACATAGACCCTCTGACTATCAAGTTAGAAGTTAACCAGAAATGCTTCTGGTGTACTATCTAACGATTTGGTATGAGCGCAGTTACAAAGTCCCAACAAGGATATTTTCTCAAGATGACCTCCATAAGTTTGATGATGTAACTAGTTCCAAATTTTTTCACTTTCTAGCTAGGGTCTCTCTTCGTAGTTCTTAGACAACATAATTTCTAACAGGTTGGTGTTCGGGACGACGTTGAATTTGTTGTCAAACACAATGTTTTCTGATGACATGCTTGATCCAAAATCAGACGCAGTGAAAGAGTTAAAAGAGCTTATAGCAAAAATAATGGAGCTTGCAGGGAAGCCTAATATTTCAGATTATTTTCCTATTCTAAAACCAAAACTAGAAGTTCCTTATTCCTCACAGATCAAGGTGTCATACGATCGATTGCATGATCTGATCGATGAGATGATTGATCGACGGCTAAAACGTAGGGCTTCTGGATCAAGGTGGATTGGGGATTTCTTGGATGTTCTTCTTGATCATACTGGTGAATATGGGCCTGATAAACTTGATCATCTTGATGTCAATCTTTTGCTTATGGTAAGTTTTTCCTTTTTGTTTCTCACAGACACACAACTCTAAACCAATGCATGTGCATAGGAAAAAGAAACTACGACTATCCAGGTAAACGATATAGGATAGACAATAATGAACAGAATGAAAATATGAAAAGTAGAATACTCGTACATATATAGTGGTCCAACCAGATTACTAGAGCTATATCTGTGCTTACCATTGTAGGGTTTTCAATATAAAGAAGATACTACTGTAGAAACATTAGAAAGATCGCAATGAAAAAGATTTAAGTGTATAATATGATTAGACTCCATAGTTTAAATTATGAAAATACTACACAAATACATATCGAGGAATGAAAAGTTAGAAAGATTATCATCTTGACCAGATCAAGTCGCGATTGGAATGAAAAGGATAATTGTACAACATGATTATTAGGCTCCATACTACACAAACACGTGTCGAGGAACAAAAAGTCAAAAATATTGTCACCTTGATGAAATCAAGCAGCGATAAGAATGAAAAAGATAAGTGTACAACATGATTATTAGACTCCAATATTGTCTTAACGTTACAAACACGAGGAACGAAAAATCGAAAACATTATCACCTTGACCAGATCAAGCAAGGATCTTCTTAGAAGTATTACTCCAGCTTTTGCGTCTAGGGGATCATGTAGTCCAGAACATTTTTAATGTAACAAATCAGCACAACTACTCATGTACAATAGAATCTGTTTGACTTTCATTTTTTTTAATGTATCTGTAAGGCTATGTTTGATAGCCAAGGAATTCCATAGAAGTAGGAAAAAGTTTTCCATTTTCCCCAAATTGTGGTGTT